TTTTTTGAGGCAGAGTCTCACTCTGTTGTCCAGGCTGGAGCTCAGTGGCTGCAGGCCCAAGTGATCCTCCCACCTCATCCTCCAGAGTAGCTGGGACTGCAGGCCCACACCACTATGCCTGGCTAATTTTTTTTAGCAGGGGTGGGGGCAGAAGTGGAGTCTCACTCTCTTGCCCTGGCGGGTGTCAAATTCCTGGGCTCCAGCGCTCCTCCTGCCTTGGCCTCCCAAAGTGCTGGGATTACAGGCAGGAGCCGCTGTTCCCAGCCCTGTTCTGTCCAGTCTAGCGTGTCTTTATATGTTAATTTTCTTCTAGACTTACAGCTCAGGCGTGCCTTCATTCCCTTTGCACTTCTCCTTTAACACTGATTTGTTTCAGATGTTTGGAAGGTCATGGTTGGCGCGCTCTCAATCCTGAGGTGTTGGTGTTGGTGGGTGATGTGAGAGGTCTGGGCTGTGAAGCTGCCTGGAGGCCCGGTGCCCTTTCTGTGTCATGACCCTTTCTCAACAGTGAAGTGGGCTTTTGTTGGGATTGAATTGAACAGTGTACAGGAAGCATCTGGCACTCGACAGGTGCTAAGTGAATGTCCGCCCCACCCCACATCCCTTTCTTACTCTTCCTTGCCGAATGAACCCCTGGTGTTTAAAGCCAGGGATGCTCTTTGCTGATGACCCTGGTTCCGCAGTCATTGCCCCGCTCTGCGCCTGTTCTCTGTTAACTGAATACAGGAAAGTCAGAACCCTTCTAGTTAATATCCCAGTTCCCTCAAGGTAGCTGATTTCAGGTGTGTTGAAGGAGGTCAGTCTGCTTAAAGGAGTTTGTTCAGAGGTAGGTGAGCGAGTGGATGATTGGGTCGATACAGGATTTACATGTAAATGCAGTCTTTAACCCATTTGGATCTTTAAATGGTACAGTCTTTTTTGATGGTGGTTTTCTTAGTTTTTTGCCTTCTGGCAGCTGACTCCAAAAAAATAGGCCATAGCAGCACAGCGTCCCTAAAAGGCTAATTCCTGGGTGCATGTTTGTATACTGTGTATCCTCCTCACCGTTGATCCCACAGTGTCCTGGTGAAATCAGGGCAGACATTTACTGAACCCTGCTTTGTGGTGCAGCAGGCAAAGCCACTGAAGTGCTGTGTGAAATTCCTAAGATCACACATCTCGTTAAAAGTACACAGAGCTGGCTGGGCACAATGGCTCACACCTGTAATCCCAGTGCTTTGGGAGGCCGAGGTGAGCGGATCACGAGGTCAAGAGATTGAGACCATCCTGGCCTATGTGGTGAGGCCCTGTCTCTACTAAAAATATAAAACTTAGCTAGGCCTAGTGGCACATGCCTGTAATCCCAGCTACTCCGGAGGCTGAGGCAGGAGAATCGCTTGAACCGGGGAGGTGGAGGTTGCGGACTCCAGCTTGGGCAACAAGAGCAAAACTCATCTCAAAAAAAAACATACACAGAACTTGTTTTCTGGGCTCCTAGGCAAGCATGCTTTCTCCTGCAAAGCTACTCACATTTGTTTCATTTTTATATTATTTTCTCTCAATTATCTTAACAATTATTTAGTCTTACAGATTGGGACTCTCCAAAGCTTGCTTTAAATGCACAGATTTGCCTAAATGAATTTGCCTTCTTGTCACTGGGGCTTCCTGAAGGCAGTGTGGTGTGGGGGACACTGCCTGAGTGCAGAAGGTGCTGTGCCGTGCACGGGCTGTTCCACTTCGAGGGGCTCGTGCCTCATCCAGTCGTTAGGTTAACGACTTCGTTCATGTCAGGCGTAGAAAAGAGCTGGCCCGCAATAAGGGCTCATTGAAGGCTCGTTGCTCTTTATGTACAGAGAGGGATTTTCGTGTTGAAATTCTGCCCTTCCTCTGGCTGGCTTTTCCTGCCACTGCAAATCTCCTTGCTGTTCCTGGATAATTTTCTGATCCACATTTTTCCATATCTAGCAGTAGCCACATGGCCGCTTCTTGAAAGGTGGTGACTCTAAGGCCTGTGGGGCATTATGAAGCTGAGGGCAGGAGAGATGGGCACAGGCCTGAGTGTGAGTACAGGACTCCTCTCAGCTACGTGGGTCACCTCAGATATGAAAATCTGCACCTGCTGCTTTGGGCACACTCTTGGTGTTCTGTGTTTCTAAGAGCTGTCCTCATGTTCATGCATAAGAACGTGGGAGGCTGTTTTCTTGCCATTACAAAGTGATGGAATCACTGGGTGCCATTCCTGGGCCCTGTGATTACCATGATTCCAGCCCATCCTGTGACTCTCTTGGTATCTCCCTGTCCTAGAGGACACTGGCATGCTTCAGCTGACTTAATCATCAGAATGATCTTAGTACAGGCAGTATATCAGTGAGTTACAGGAAAAGCTATAGACCCTGACCACCCGCAGCACATCAGGAATTGACCGGATTGGGAAACATGAAATTACTGGGCCTGCTTTCATTTAAACCTTTGCTAATTGCATAAAGGACAGTGAAATGGCTTGTTCTGAGGGGAAGTCATTATAGTACTTTAGTTAATAACATCCACGGAAGTTTCTGCCAGTATGCGATGGGTGCTCAGGATGCGGCTCCGGTCCGCTGCCCTCAGTGCTGGGCCGAGAAAAGCATTCTGTGTTAAAGACGATGGTGTCAGCTGCTGAATTGCTTCTGTGAGTCATAAAACTCAAAAACACACTCTGTACAGATTCATGTTAAAATTTCCACATCAGAATTAACGTACAGTATCTGCTTGGATAACTTTACCAACATGAATTTTACTTAATATTCTTAAATGTTATGCTGTTGTATTTTATTTTGAAGACATTACATGGAACTTCAGATTTAGAATTTTGAGAAATTTGGATGTAATTGAAAACATACTTGAATATGCTTTATGGCTGAATTTTTCTTGATGTCTGCAGAATTCTAATTTACTTTTAAAATTTACATTTGAATATAACATGGTAGCCGTAATAGACTATATCTTTCCATTTCTCTTCATTGAAAGGGCTTGAATTGGAAAGTACATGTGGGCTTGGTTACGTCTCGGGTCTTTACAAACTGAAAGTCATATCAGGTCCATCAGAGCCGGCCTCTAAGAAGTCCCTGTGGCTCCTGCAGGTCTGTTGGCCTTTCTTTGGATTCTTCTAGCATTGAATTTTTGGCAGTCCAGCAATGATGTGTGTGTACTTCCCATTACACTCAAGCCTGAATGGTGGAGCTCAGCCGTGCCTGTGATTTTCACTGACATGCTGCACATCTCCATCCAGTCCTGCCTGGATGGCCCTGTGGAAGCTTCAGCAACCCTTAAGCTGGTTTCGTCCAGCCCCAGGAGCCTGCTGTCCCTCACATAGTTCCTGGTTACCCACACCAGAAACTGGGGAGTCACAGACCCTTCAGTGTTACAGCCAGTGTCACGTGTTGCCATGTGTCACTGTGGTCGCCAGCCCCCTCATCCCTAGTCCAGTGCAGCTGCTTTATTTAGGCCATCACCTCCTGACTAGGCTGTGGGTGTCACTCTGTGTCACCACCATGTCCCTGCTTCTGCCTTCTCCCTCCAGTCTCAGCTTAAGTTGAGATCTGAGAGAAAATGGTGACATGATAGCAATGCCAGCAAGATTGCAAACCACTCTTTCTGCCCTCAAGTGTCGTGATCTTTGTTGTACACAGTGAAGAAACCCAAGTCCAGGACCTTGCTGGAGGCCACACAGACCCACGTGCAGGTCTCATCCTTCAGTGCCCAGTTACGGAGTTTGGGATAGAATGTGCCACGTGCATGTCTTCTCATCCTGCGGTCCACAGTTATGGAACCTGGGGTAGAATGTGCCAGAACAGCATAAGGAAAACTCTGTAGGCCTTGCTTAGCTCCACTAGGCCTGGCAGTTCCTAGCCTCAGTTCTGTCCCTCAGGGCAGGGTGTGGTTTGCCCCCTGATCCCCATCAGGGCCTGGTCAGTGCCCCTCAAACCACTGGCTGAGCCAGGTGAGTGTATTCACAAGCTACTTTAGTGCCAGAGACTCAACCCTGTCCCTTCTAGTGATTACTAAGTATTTGTCTACTTGGCAACCTCTGATATTACTTCAGAATGTGTTGCGTTTATCTGTCTGCTTTATTGCTTCCTTGTAAGAAATTAATTTGGGGTAAAAATCTGCAAAAAATCTTTTAAGAAATGATTATTGTTAGGTAGTGGAGCATTTTTAGAGCTATAGATGTGTTTTTAACAACATTTTCAACAGTTTTATTTTTCCAGGGAGTCAGAACAGTTGCTGGCCAAACCATTCCCCTTCACTGTTGATTTTCACGAGAGGAAGGTGCCCTTGTGTCCAGGCTGGGACGCCGTGGCCGGCGGCTCTGGGTTGCCGAGGGTTGCCTTGTTGAAACGCCCTGCCTGACACTTTGTTAGTTTAAACAGCGCCGGTTCTGCTTGTTGAAGTAGAAACGAAGCTTTCTAGGAATAACATAATGACCCTTTTTCTGTACGGTTCTTTCAGGTCGGTGCTCACTTTCTGGAGGCAGTGGTGAGGAAGTTTGATGACGTCTATAAGCACGGAAGCGAAGGGAAAGAATGTGGCAACCTGTTCACCATTATTGCCCATTTATACAACTTCCATGTGGTGCAGTCTCTCCTCGTCTTTGACATTTTGAAAAAACTTATTGGAACTTTCACCGAAAAAGATATTGAACTGATCTTGTTAATGCTGAAAACTGTGGGCTTTTCGTTGAGAAAAGATGATGCTTTATCGTTGAAGGAACTGATCACTGAAGCCCAGACCAAAGCCAGCAGCGCAGGCAGCAAGTTTCAGGACCAGACCAGGGTACGCATGCGACATTCAATCTGCTTCCTAAGTCCCTAAGCTCACACACTGGCCAGAACTTAAAAATCAGTATCTGGGTAAATATTACACTTCCTTTTCTACTGATTTCTGTTGTCTCTGTCTCATCCAGTTTTCTGGCTTTAATATGTGAATGAACCTTATTCCTTTATTAAGAACTCAGAAAAATGTTTTGTGAATTTAAAAATTGATTTATTTAACATTCATCCATTCAAAAAATATTTACTGAGGAGGCCACAGGACATGGGGCTCTAGGGTCAGCCTGGATTGGGCTTCAGCTCTGCCGCTTGTCAGTAGCATAAGCTGGATCTTCTGAGCCTCAGGCCCCCTCTGTAAAACAGGGACTGATGGCAGCTCCCACTTGGTGTGCTGTTCAGATGACGAGATGTGTGGAAGCCCTTTGGGGAGGAACACGAGAAGGGTTAGTGTGAGAGCCGTGAGGGGGCATCACAAGAGAAAAAGGCGGAGTCCAGGTCTCTGGACCCTTGTTAATTACTGCAGGGAACTGAGGGTTTTATCCTAGAGGCATCTGAAGGGTTCCGAGCAGGTGAATGACAGGCTGGAGTTTTCCTTCTGATGGTCACTTTGACTCCAAGTAGAAAGAGGCGTGAGGCAGTTGGGGTAGGAGGGAGTTTTGCAGGAGCTGGGGAGTGAGTGGTGGCTAATGTTGGGATCGTGGCAGCAGGTGTGGACGTGGACCTTAGAAGTGACCAGTCCTAATGTGGATTGGGGTGAAGGGAAGGAGGGCTCAGGATCACCCGTTGGGCGCAGGGGGCTGTGCAAGAGGAGGTGAGGATTTAGGAGAATGGGCACCTTCGTTTTTGAAAGATTGAAATTAAAGCTCCTAAGTTGGCTGTGAACAGAGTGGGCTGAAGGGATTTGGGGCTGCTCTTGTAAAGGGGGGTCCTAGAAGCCATGGAAGTAGGTGGACTAGCTTGGCATGGGGTGGGCTGTGAAGAGGACTTTAAGGTTAAGGAGCACTGACATTTAGCTACAAGGAGGACGGAGAGCTGCAGGTGAGAACGAGAAGGCGTCAAGAGGGAGGAGGAAATGAGGAGAGTCGCAGGAGCTGGGGTTCCCCTAGTGTCCCCAGGAAGAATTCATGCCCTTGTAGGATGCTAAGGACCAGCAAGAGGAAGAAGGGATTTGCATTTTGGGCTAAATTGTGACAGCGGTCCCTACTGGCCTATCCTGGTCACCGAAGAAGGCAGTCTGTAAAGAGGAGAGGCTAGAGAATGGAAGGGGAGCGGCGGGTTAGATGGAAAATGGTTTAAAATGGAAAAGAGACAGAAAGCAGATGAGTGGCTGCCTAGGGCTGGGGAGTTGGGAGAACAAGGAAGCGGTTAACGGGTTTGGAGTTTCTCTTCTGGGTGATGAGAAAGTTCTGAAATTGACTGGTGATAGTTGCACAACTCTGAATAGACTAAAAGCCACCTGATTATATACCTTACCTGGGTGAGTTTTATGGATGTGAATTCTGTATCAATGAGAAGTTGACATTTAGGGATATCTCAGAGGGTATGGGGGAATTCTTTGTGCTGTTCTTACAATTTTTCCATAAGTATGACATTATTTCCAGTTTTAAAGTTAAAACCACAAGGCCAGTGGTACGGAGAGGGTGTCCACACAGGTCGCCAGGGGCTATTGTGGGAGCAGGAGCGCAGGAGGGGCCGAGATGGCCAGCGGCGGGGGGGGGGTTGGTGTGGACAGGTGAGGTGTGGCAAGCAGAAGGGCAAAGTCAGATTGAGGCTGAGGGACACATTCTGTTTTAAAATACTACATAACCCTGAGTAAGCGGTGAGGCTGGTTCAGACCATCTCTACCTAAAGACCGCTCTGACTTTGTATGGTAGCAGTGGTGGCCAGGTGCATTAGGTATGGTAGATTTCTTGCCAACTTGAGCAGTTTAGACTGTTTGAAACGCTGGACTATTAATTTTTTCATTTTTCTTGAAGATTCGGTTTATGCTAGAGACGATGATGGCCCTGAAGAACAATGACATGCGTAAAATTCCAGGCTATGATCCCGAGCCTGTGGAGAAGCTGAGGAAGCTGCAGAGAGCTCTGGTAAGCCAAGGAACTTGCAGTTCTGCTTTGCTCAGAGCTTCTGTATTAGCATGAGCCTGTTGGGAAAATCAAGAAACAGTCAGACCTGCAAGTCAGGATAGTGTCTGGTGAGTGAGAGCACTCAGAGGCAGCACGAAGGCTGCTCGCTTTTCCTTGGGGCTCTCCTGGTGGCCTGGCCATGCTCGCTCCTGCAGAATGTCATGTGTGGGGCAGCCCACGATGGGCAAGCCTCCTCTTCGCCTCACCCTGGGTGCTAAACTTGGGCTGCACTGTTGGATTGTCCGGTGCTTTCAGAGAAGGCCAAGGCCCCACCTGGATCAAGAAAATCAGGATGACTTACGTTTTTTTTGTTTGTTTGTTTTTTGTTTTTTTGAGATGGAGTTTCGCTGTTGTTACCCAGACTGGAGTGCAATGGCACGATCTCGGCTCACTGCAACGTCCGCCTCCTGGGTTCAAGCAATTCTCCTGCCTCGGCCTCCCAAGTAGCTGGGACTACAGGCGCGCACCACCATGCCCAGCTAATTTTTGTATTTTTAGTAGAGATGGGGTTTCACCTTGTTGACCAGGATGGTCTCAATCTCTTGACCTCGTGATCCCCCCGCCTTGGCATATAATGCTGCTATTATAGGTGTGAGCCACCGCGCCCGGCTGACTTAGGTTTTTTGGCTGTCTCTGATGTGCAGCCAGGATGGAGACCCAGCAGCCTCTCTGTCAGAGAGAGTCTTTCAGCCCCTGTCATCCCAAGTCCAGATCGTCGTTGACTTGGGCTGTTCCAGGCGTGTCCTCTGCCTGCCACTGAGCCTGAGGCAGCTCTGTCACTCTCCCCTGTTGGGGCAGCTTTCCAAACACCTGTTTCAGGTGATGGACTCTCAAACACAAAACACTGTGAGTTTACCGCTAGTTTTGGCATTGTTCTAAACAAGCTAACCATCCCAACTGCCAGTGAATCATTCCAGTATTCATACACCAGAAATGTCATAGTCAAAAACCAAAAGCCACCAGTGATGGAGTACGGAATATGAACCAGTTAAAAGCATTTCATTAGCTCTTCTCTCTTAATCAGGTCCGCCATGCCGGCTCAGGTTCTGAGACTCAGCTTCGCGTCTCCTGGGACAGCGTCTTGAATGCGGAACAGACAGGTCGCTGGTGGATTGTGGGGTCTGCCTGGAGCGGGGCCCCGATGATTGACAACAGTCAGCATACGCACCTGCAGAAGCAGCCCGCGGGGACGGTAGGGACGCCTGTACTCAAGGCTGCCAGGTGGCGGCACCCCCTGTGTGGTGTGTGGTCACGGCTTCACCTGGAGCTGCTCCCTTACTGTTCTTGAATGGTTACTGAAATCTGCAAGGTTTATTTGGAGGCCTTAGAGAAATTGCTGTTAATATTACGTTGTGATATAATTATTCCGTTTCTGTTCTTCTTTTTATTGGATTTTAAGAGTCCCAAAACACAAACGCAAAAGATCTGAAAGTTGAATCTCAGGGGACAGGGGAGCTGGCAAGGACCCGAATGCTCGCTGAGCAGGCGTCCGTTCCTGAGACTGCTCGGCTGCCTCCCGCGCTGTGCGTGCCAGCCCACAGACCGTGGCTTTCACATTGTGGAAATTCAAGTCCATAGCTAATCCAGACTTCCCTCGTTCTTCCCCCACGTCCTTCCCTGTCCCAGGATTCCGCGTCACTCGTGGTGGTCATGGTTCCCCAGGCTCTGCCGGTGACCCGTTCTCTGTGTTTTATTTCATCACCGCTTAACTCTGAGGTTGAACCACTACTGAGAAGTTTGTCATATTGCGTGGTTTTCTCCTCCAGTGGCTGTGGCTTTGCTCTGCTTTCCCCTTGCAGGGGGTTGCCCAAGAGTGGACTTGGTGCTGACGTTCAAACGCTCATGTAGACCTCACAGCTGGATTTCAGTTACGCTGAAGTACTGTGCGGCATCTCTCAGGAAGCAGTTTGCGTGGACATGCATATGACGTGTTCATTAATCATGCTTTCAGGTCAGCTCCAAGATCCTAGAACTCGCCCGGAAGCAGAGGATGAACACGGACATCAGGAGAAACATATTCTGCACAATAATGACAAGTGAAGATTTTCTGGATGCTTTTGAAAAGCTTCTAAAGTAAGCATTTGTGTGCACATTTTGACCTCCTAATGAGATGGTGTAAAAGAAATAAGTTGATGTGTTTTTTGAGTTTTGAATGACTGAGTCCCATGCTGCTTAGGCGGGGCTGGGCTTTTCTTACCGTCCGCTCACCCTGTTAGACCTGTGCATCCCTTAGTCATCTCCCTATTAATCTGCCTCTAGTGGTTCCTCGTTAGAACAGTTTATGATATATAAAGATTAGGGGCTTGGGGGTTTTATTGAGACAGGGTCTTGCCATGTTGCCCAGGCTGGAGACTGGGGAGTTTTGACTGAAAGAATTAGATGATCTTCTCAGTGGCTGTTGCTGGCCGTGAATTGCTTAAACATACATAAATCTTCATAATAAAGTTGTTCTGATTCTTCATTTAAAACTTCCTGGTATAGTTTCTGTAATTAGTTGTAATAAGATTTTAAAGATCCTGTAATCCCAGCTGCTTAGAAGGCTGAGACAGGAGGATCACTTTAGCCCAGGAGTTACAGACCAGCCTGGGCAACATACTGAGACCCTATCTCTTTAAAGAAAAATAACCTGTAAATGTACCTGTGTAGTTTTCTGAGGTACTTCTTTTTTTTTTTTTTTTTTTTTGAGACGGAGTTTCGCTCTTGTTACCCAGGCTGGAGTGCAATGGCGCGATCTCGGCTCACCGCAACCTCCGCCTCCTGGGTTCAGGCAATTCTCCTGCCTCAGCCTCCTGAGTAGCTGGGATTACGGGCACGCACCACCATGCCCAGCTTATGTTTTTGTATTTTTAGTAGAGACGGGGTTTCACCATGTTGACCAGGATGGTCTCGATCTCTTGACCTCGTGATCCACCCGCCTCGGCCTCCCAAAGTGCTGGGATTACAGGCTTGAGCCACTGCTCCCGGCCTAGTTTTCTGAGGTACTTCTAAACACTTCAGTGTTAATACATTTTCTTTTATTTGCTTCAGACTAGGATGAAATACAGGGAGAAGATGGTTCATTTTAGGATTCTGATAATTAGAAGCTTTTATTTTCTAAACTGGGGTGCCTAGTTGAAGTGGACCTCCTAAGCCTCCTTTGCCTCTCTGTGGCCTTGCTGTTGTGCTGAATACATCCTGTGTCACTAGTTACTCTTTGTCTCTAAAAGGGCTCTTTTGAGGAGAGCTCTTACTCACTAGTCAGCGGGTCTGGCTTATCCTTTGTACTTGGGAGGACTTTTAGTTTTCCTCTGGTTGACTTTGTGTTATGAAAATTTTGGCCTATCAAAGTACATTTATTAAACAATAATTTTTCCCATTGTTACTCATCAAAACCATGAGTTATGAATCTAAATTTTTAACGTGAATCGATAAAAAGTGCAGCAAAAATCACTCAGCTCCTTGGGCTGCGTGCGCCACCGCCTCGTGAGCACCCTCCGTGGGGCTGCGCTGTTTTGTGGCGTAGCTGATGCTTCTCTCCTAAGGTACGGAGTGGCTCCCGGCCCAGGGCTCTCGCAGGTGTTGGGGAGTTGTGTTTTGGCAGTGGCAGTGGTGACCTGACTGTATGGGCTTATCCACACTCACAGGACTCTGTGCTACAAAGGATAGGTTTTACTGCGTATGAGCTCTAACTCAAGTTTTTTGGTTTTTTTTTTTTTTGAGATGGAGTCTCGCTCTGTCGCCCAAGCTGGAGTATCGTGGCTCGATCTCGGCTCATTGAAATCTCTGCCTCCTGGGTTCAAGCAATTCTCCTGTCTCCGCATCCCAAGTAGCTAGAATTACAGGCATGAGCCACCATACCCGGCTAAGTTTTGTGTTTTTAGTAGAGACGAGATTTCACTATGTTGGCCAGGCTTGAACTCCTAACCTCAGGTGTTCCACCCGCCTAGGCCTCCCAAAGTGCTGGGATTACAGGCGTGAGCCACCACGCCCGGCCCCCTAACTCAAGTTTTAAAACAAAAACGTGTCTGGGCGCATCACAACCAGAGAGGTTGTGACGGGGCTGGGACCCTAGCTGGTGTCTACTGCTGCCTCCACCTCCCCTACCTGGCTCCCCTCTAACCAGACCCTTCCAGGCAGGAAGGTGTTCCTCTGAAAGGTATCAGCCATTCAACGTGGGAAGCTGAGTGACATTCCAGTCATGGCTGTTCTGTTTTTTAGGCTTGGACTTAAGGATCAGCAGGAGAGAGAAATCATTCATGTTCTCATGGATTGCTGCCTTCAAGAGAAAACTTACAATCCCTTCTACGCTTTCTTGGCTAGCAAATTCTGTGAATATGAAAGGAGATTTCAGGTAACTTAGTGCGGAGGCACCAATTTCATCTGCTCTGCTGTTTTTTCTAAACATGCTGCCTGGCTCAACCCACCTGCAAAAGAGTTTCCCAAGTCAGAAGGCCCCTGAGGTCCCAGTCACGTGGTCCGCACTGGCTGCCAGGGCACACTCCCTGAGAGTGGAAGGGGTGGCTACAGGGGAGTGTCAAGTGTCCACCGTGTCTGCACGTCACCTTCTCCTGCCACAGATGCAGGCAGCGTGTGGCCAGCAGCAGGAGCGCCTCACCAGTTCATGCCGCACCAGCCTCTTCTGATGTCACTCGCTGTGGCCTTTGCCTTAGAATATTCTGTTGGTGTCTGCTGATTTGAGGGAAAACACTGCACCAGAAAGAGATTGTTGAGAAGCTGTTTGGAACTGTGCTCTATAGGAGAGAACAGTGAGGTCGCCACTGAAAGTCTTGATGTTTAGAATATTAAAAATAAGATAATAAGAAAAAGAGTACCTCTAGGTTATGTTCTTAGTGATGTATTGTAATGATTTGCAGCCGTTGACCTTTTTTCTTCTATTAACTATGCTACTAGATGACTTTCCAGTTCAGCATATGGGACAAATTTCGGGACTTGGAAAACTTGCCAGCTATGAATTTCTCTAATTTGGTTCATCTGGTGGCCCACTTGCTGAAGACAAAATCGCTTTCACTTTCCATCCTGAAGGTTCGTATAACGTGTGAAAATGTTTAAAGCCATGGAAATGAGAGTGCAGTTGTTTACATTAGGTCTGTTTGACCAGTGTGTTTTCTTTGGTTCTGACTCACCTGGAAAGTACTTACGTTAGCCCAGCCAGCATAGAAATGGCCAGACCAACATACGGTACACGTCGACCTGATAAATTAGGGCACAGTTACAGTTCTTTTGCTAACCTGAGTGAATTGGGGTTTGAGGTTAATGTGCTGGTGCTAATTATAAAATCCTGAACTGGTCACCGTTAGTGAGTAGAAGGGTGGACAAAGTAGGGCCTGGTTTCCTTAGAGGTGAGGCGCGTTTGCTCACTTTGCTGTAAGTTGTTTTAAAACTGCAGGCTTTCTCCTGCTCTGCTGTATTTTGGGACTTTGCAGTGGACCATGACACCTAGACATTTTTTTCTTCTGAGATGAAATGTTGCTCTGTCACCCCGGCTGGAGTGCAGTGGCACGATCTCAGCTCACTGCAACCTCCACCTCCTGGATTCAAGCGATTCTCCTGCCTCAGCCTCCTGAGTAGCTGGGACGGTAGGCGCCCGCCACCATGCCCAGCTAATTTTTGTGTTTTTAGTAGAGATGGGGTTTCACCACATTGGCCAGGCTGGTCTCGAACTCCTGATCTTGTGATCTGCCCGCCTTGGCCTCCCAAAGTGCTGGGATGACAAGTGTGAGCCACCGCGCCCGGCTGAAATGTAGACATCTTATCAGATGTACTGGGCGTTCAAAGTCGGCTTGTAAGGCTCAGATGGTGGGACCACCAGACCCTGAAAAGCCTAAAAATTTGGAGAGCCTGAGGGGCAAAGGAAAGTGAAAAGCAGAGGTAGTTCAGGGGCGTTGACTACAGTGGCCTGATCTGCAAGACGGCTACCGCCACAGGTGTCCGTGTGTTTCCGTGTGTCCTGTGCGCTCGTCAGCATACCTGCTCCCGTTCACCGTGCGTCCCTTCCTGTGGGGTGTCCCAGTGTGGCCACTGTACTGAAAACGAGGGTCCCGAGCCTTATGCCGAATTCTGACAACCAGAATAACTTAGAACATGGAGGAGGCATTGTTCCCCCTCCGCCCACTTGAGGCATTGCGCTCATCCTGCAGCTGCCTAGAAGCTACCGCGGATGAGTGGGAGAGGCGTGGCAGGAGCACATGCTTCGGCGCAGACCTTTAGAGATGCCCCTCCCAGCCTGGCTGCTCTCATTCCGAGTTTCTCTGGGTTTTGGCCATGCTTTTGTGGTCTCGCTGTGCCCTTGGGTCTGCAAGCGCCTGTGATGGTGTTGGCTGCGGACCCCCCAGTGGGTAGCATTCCTGTCGGTTGGCTAGAAGAGGCTGATGCCCTCCTCTAGCTCGCTGACATTCAGCTCAGATGTGGTCCGTCCATGTTGGCGTGAGTCTGTTCTGGGTAGCATCTTACTGTGTACGTTTACTCCAGTTCACATGTTTATTCCACCAATCCGTGTTTGAGTTACTTCTGATTTTTTGATAGTTTTCTAGGAGAGCGAGACACATGGATTAGTCTTCTGGAAGTAAATTTTATATATTTATAGTTTTAATTAGGGGATGGGTACTTCAGGGAATGGAGATAATTTGTGTTTCAATTCTAGATACTAAATGTCTGATTCATAAGGTGTATGCCCTGGGAATTCCACTTACACTGCTGAGTTGTTCTCAACGGTACATGCGGCCGGCCACACCTCTGCCAGCAGTGTATAGGGATTCCCAAGGCCCATATCCTTGCCAACAGCTCTGGAAATAGCTTCTTAAATCGGGTAAAGTGGGGGGTGGGGGGGGGGAGATTAATTTTTACTCTATTTACAAATCATTGAAAAAGTTGGCTAAATCAGTGTGACGTTTTCCCTGTGTCCTGACCATTAGGTAGTGGAATTCAGTGAATTGGACAAACCCAGAGTCCACTTTTTACGAAAAGTGTTAAGTATCCTGTTAATGGAAACAGAAGTTGAAGACCTCGGTTTAATTTTCACAAGGTATGTGCCCCACTTGTTCTGATGAGACGTGGAAGAGAGATGAGATGGTTTGCGCTTGTGTTGACTTATAAACACAAGGTTGTACTCTGTGTAACTTAATGAATCATTTCAGTTCTATTTTTAAGCTAGTATGCAGTATTAGATTTGGGGAACAGAAACTTGTCCACTAGTAAACTAACAATGAACAATGGTTGGTAATAATAAAATAAGAAGTTCTTTGTGTTTTTTGTTTGTTTGTTTGTTTTTTGAGACGGAGTCTCATTCTGTCACCAGACTGGAGTGCAGTGGTGTAATCTCGGTTTATTGCAACCTCCGCCTCCTGGGTTCAAAGCGATTCCCCTGCCTCAGCCTCCCAAGTAGCTGGGACTACAGGAACATGCCATCATGCCCAGCTAATAGACATATATATATTGTATTTTAGTAGAGATGGAGTTTCGCCATGTTGGTCAGGATGGCCTTGAACCCCTAACCTGGTGATTTGCCCACCTCGGCCTCCCAAAGTGCTGGGATTACAGGCGTGAGCCACCGCACCTGGCCAGGAAGGAAACTGGTTATGTCTCCCTATTCAAGATAAAAATTACTCTCCCCCCACCCACCCCTTACCCCCAACTCTTCCCCTGATTTAAGGAGCTGTTTCCAGAGCTAAGAAATGAACACCTGTTGGCAAGGATGTGGGCCTTGGGAATCCCTATACACCGCGGGCAGATCTCGGAGCGGCTAGCTCATCCCTGACGTGTATTTATGCGATTCCTTTCCAGAGTGTCGGACAACCCAAAGCTGGGGGTGTTGCGTGAGGGCTTGAAGCTGTTCATCAGCCACTTCTTGCTAAAGAGCGCACAGGCCCACAGAAGCGCCGAGGAAGCCAACGTGCTGAGAGCGAGAGCTGACCTTGCTACACAGGCTCTGCAAGGAAAAGCTTCCCTGAGAATGTAGTCAGGCAAGAAAGGAGCGCAGCTGGCCCTTTGACTGTAAACTGTCCTTTGTAAACCCAAAGGCTTATTCTGTTGACTGCGTGTGAAAGTTTGGTAGAGCTATGTCATTGTCTGTTATTGTATTATGTTTTGAGATAATTATTTTTAATCTAAGGTTTTATAGTTTGTATTTCAGACCATTTTCAAATAACTCTATCTTGGGGGATAGAGGAGGAAGGAGGGAAAGGAGGTGCAGGCACACTGGACAGGGTTCTCTAAGCAGTGAGGCTGGGGTGTGATTGTCTTAAAATTTTTCAGTAGATATGGCCAAACCTGATGGCTCACCCCTGTAATCCCAGCACTTTGGGAGGCTGAGGCAGGCAGATCACTTGAGGCCAGGAATTTGAAACCAGCCTGGGCAACATGGCACAACCCCGTCTCTACTAAAAATACAAAAATTAGCCAGGCATGGTTGCACATGCCAGTAATCCCAGCTACTGGGGTGGCTGAGACACAAGAATCACTTGAACCCCGGAAGTAGTTGCAGTGAGCCAAGATTGCACCACTGCACTCCAGCCTGGGCTGGACAGTGTGACTTTGACAGAGAGACTGTCAAAAAAAAATTAATAGATAAGATAGGCCACTAGAGGGTGCAGTTATAAAGAAATTGATGAATTTTTACCTTTTTAAAGTATTGAGACATAGTCTCACTCTGTTGCCCAGGCTGGAGTGCAGTGGCACGCGATCTTGGCTCACTGCAACCTCTACTTCCTGGGTTCCAGCAATTCTCCTGCCTCAGCCTCCTGAATGGCCAGTACTACAGACGCGCGCCACCACGCCTGGCTAATTTTTGTATTTTCAGTAGAGATGGGGTTTCACCATGTTGGCCAAGATGGTCTTGAACTCCTGACCTCAGGTGATCCACCCGCCTCGGCCTCCCAAAGTGTTGGGATTACAGGCACGAGCCACCATGCCCAGCCTAAATGTGATCCTTTATATTTTAAGTATTTGGGATGCAGTTGAACTTTGGAAAAATCAGTTGACATAAGCCCTGTGGATATGGTCTTGTGTACAATATAGTACAGACAGGCGATTTTCACTGTCACTCATGCAGCATTTTGACAAAGTAGAGGATATTCATCTTACTAATTCCAAATTGCAAATGTACTTTAAGGAACTCTGAGGACACCAAATAGTAGTTATTTGACTTTTTCTTTCTTTTTTTTTTTTTTTTTTTTTTAAAGACGGGGTTTCACCATGTTGGTCAGGCTGGTCTTGAACTCCCGACCTCAGGTAATCCACCCGCCTTAGCCTCCAAAGTGCTTGCATTACGTAGTGAGCCACTACGCCCGGCCTAGTTATTTGACTCTTACTAGGTGCTGCTTGTTTGCAAGGATTTGGAGATGTAAACATGAAGAAAACATAATTACTGCCTGCAGAGAACTAACTAGCATTTATCTCGTGAGGGAAACAAACACACCCCACTCGCTAAGTCTGGAAAACCAATTCTGTGAGGAAGTAGAAATGGCCCTGGACACCCAGCCTCTCTAGCAGATACGCAGATGTCGAGTGTTTCCCAGCACTTACATTTTCCTTTTCTCTCTCAAATGCTACAGACTTAACCTTTGATTGTTGAAAAAAGTCACTAAGATGTGGATATAGAATAGACACAGAAGTTACGTATGCCCAGAGCCCATCTGTCCAGCTGCTGCTGTCTTCTTCCAAGTGGTCGTGTTGGGCAGATGGGCACAGGTGCTGGTGATACCACTCCCATGCAAAACAAAACACCCCCTTTGTGGCACTTTCAGATTTTTTTTTTTTTTTTTTTTTTTTTTAAGAGACAGGTTCTCACTCTGTCACCCAGGCTGGAGTGCAGTGGTGCAGTCATAGTTACTGCAGCCTCGAATTCCTGGAGTGAAGCAATCCTTCTGCCTCAGCCTCCCGGGTAGCTAGGACCACAGGCGATAGAGACAAGATCTGCCTGTGTTATACAGGCTGGGCTTGAACTCCTGGCCTCAAGTGATCCTCTTGCCTTGGCCTCCCAAGCACAAGGATTATAGGTGAGCTCCCATGCCTGGCCTCAAAGTTTATTTTAACTTGGCCTTATAGCAGTTTATGTTTCACAATCATAATGTGAAGTCATGAGTATCTCTGTTATCCCTAAGCTAACGGTTTAAGCTTTGAAGCGTGTGCAAGCAACATGAAAATGCAGAAAGTAGCTTTAAAGCAGCACAGAGACTGTGTCCTCCACCAACAGACATCCTATCCCTGCCTTCAACAAGGTCATTCGACCCGAAGGCCATGTCTGTCTTCTAGCAGGTTCTGAATTCAGGGACAAATAAGGTGATGGGTACTTAGAGGAGTGAATTAAGTGAAAATCTTTCCTTTGTTAAGGAGCTTTTTAACAAGAATGTCTTTGCTGGGTGGTGATTGGGATGTAACAGATGAGTTCTACTGGATGCTTAGCTTGACAGTAAGATAAGGAGCTTGGGCTGGGGTATAAATCAACACATTGCTTCCTTCCTCAAGAAAGTCGTGCTATGAAGAAAACAATGTCAGTTGAACTAAATTGTGCTTAACGCCACAGTCTATTTGCATTCTGATGCAAGCCCCCGACCTCGCAGACCAAGGGGATCCCTGGCAGCCTGTGAATAGACCACCCTGGAGTAGCATTAACATAACTGATGTCTGCCAGGCCGGTGCGGTGGCTCACGCCTGTAATCCCAGCACTTTGGGAGGCCGAGGCCGGCGAATCACGAGGTCAGGAAATCGAGACCATCCGGGCCAACATGGTGAAACCCCATCTCTACTAAAAATACAAAAATTAGCTGGGCGTGGTGGCGCGTGCCTGTAATCCCAGCTACTCAGGTTGCTGAGGCAGGAGAATTGCTTGAACCCAGGACGCGGAGGTTGCAGTGAGCCGAGATTGTGCCACTGCACTCCAGTCTGGCGACGGAGTGAGACTCTGTCTCAAAAAAAAAAAAAAAAAAAGTAACCAATGTCAATAAGAATTAATTATGGGTGAAGCTACTAAGATTAGAAAAAAGTATCACAACAGTGGCACCATCTAATTTCATTATGTATCATATGCAGTAACCCTTGTTTGAGGTAGAGATGAACCGAAGTTGATGTTTCTGCAGAAGATAAATTTCTATAAATAATTCCCTTTTTATATTGTCTTTTATTATTAAAACAAAAATACCTGTCTTTGCTATAGGGTATATTTATGACTTAAATTATTTGCTAAGGTTTGCATTTCATATATGGTAGATTGCCTGTAAGTCTGCACATTTTGACAACATAGGGGGCCAGGTGGGGTGGCTCATGTCTGTAATCTCAGCACTTTGGGAGGCTGAGGCGGGTGGATCACTTGAGCTCAAGAGTTTGAGACCAGCCTGGCCAACATGGCGAAACCCCGTCTCTACTAAAAATACAAAACTTAGTTGGGCGTGGTGGCAGGCACTTGTAATCCCAGGTACTCGGGAGGCTGAGGCAGGAAAATCGCTTGAACCTGGGAGGTGGATGTTGCAGTGAGCAGAGATGGCGCCACTGCACTCCAGCCTGGGTGACGAGTGAAACTGTCTCAAAGCAAAAAACCAAACATATATGGGCTGTTAAATAGTAATTATACTTTAGTATAAATAGGAAATACATCGTGACTAAAAGCTGTGAATTCAGAATTGCTTTTAAATACATAGGTTTTTAAATATTTATTACAATGCAATTGAAAATACACTGACACTACTATAGGACGCTTAGACAGTGCTCAGTGTTACGCAGGAACTTGTGGACTGCAGTGCAGTTTGAGAACTGCTAATGTAGGGGACCTCGTCTTTAGAGGTGTAAGGAACAAACTTTGTATTGAAGTGTGTAAATAAAATTTATTTTTTATATTTTGTTTAGAGTAACAGTGAATGTTTATTTTGAAAGATGAGCTTGGCCGGGCACAGTGGCTCACGCCTGTAATCCTAGCACTTCGGGAGGCCGAGGCGGGTGGATCGCCTGAGATCAGGAGTTCGAGACCAGCCTGGCCACGTGTATTTTTCCACTAAAAATACAAAAATTAGCTGGGTGTGGTGGCACATGCCTATAATCCCAGCTTCTTGGGAGGCTGAGGCAGGAGAATCACTTCAACCTGCAGGGGGAGATTGCAGTGAGCCAAGATTGTGCCACTTCACTCCAGCCTGGACAAAAGAGCAAGACTCCTCTCAAAAAAAAAAAAAAAAAAAAAGACAAGCTTTGCTAGTATACCTTTTCTTTACCTTTTAAAGACGACTATTTAGCTGTATGATTTAGGAAAAAAGATTCATTCTCTCCACCCCCAGAGAGAGCGAGCTCAGGAAGTGAAGTGTTAGCCACTGGAGAACTTGGGGGAGGTTTATGCAGGTGAAGTGTGTTCGTGTAACTTTTCTGTAAGTATGTAATTGTTTCAAAATAGATGTTTGAAAGCACTCATAATTCAGAACTCATAAAGATCTAAAATATACTATTTTACAAAAATAATTAAACAACAGACTGATTCAAATCACCTTTTCCTCCTTCCAAAAAATTGCTGAGGCCTTGGAGTAAAACTGCTAAGATTTACCGTAACATTAGGGCAGTTGGTTTCCTTCAGCTTGGTCTGGTGAGTGCCTCGGCTCCCTGCCACACTGCCTGCACTGGCAGGGGAGGAGGAGAGCTGGAGAACAGAAGAGGGAAGGTCCTGTCATTGGCCGCATTCAGGGGCTTCAGTATCAAGTGCTGCACTGATGGGCTTGGTGTCAGTGGATGTTCAGATTACCCAAGCACCTGCATCCCTTTAGGGTTGAATAGAGTGTAGAAGGATGCTAGCACCCTTCCCTGCTGTGGCAGGTGTTGCAAGGGCCAGGTCAGATTCATTCATTCTCTTACAGGTAGCTGGGTAGCTGGGCCCAGATTTTTTCTGAACCACTTGGAAGTTGCAACATCAAATCCCTTCATGCGTAAATGCTTTCCTGTGTCTTTCCTAAAATCAGGAACATTTACTGCTGTAACCACACTATCATCAAAGTAAGGAATTAACATTGACAGAATACTAACAGAATGTCCCTGGAGTTTTCCTGCTGCCTCTCAAGTAATCCCACCAGTTAATTGTTCAGGACAATCATTTGTCTCCAGTTCTGTGCTTACATTCAGGAGCAGTTCTGG